GTGTGTTGTAAATGTGTTTTTGCGGTTGTGTGTTGTAGTTGTGTGTTTTGTGGTTGTGTGACGTTGTATATCTATGATTGTGTGTTTGTGATAATATGTTGTATTTGTATATTTGTGATTGTGTGTTGTGTGGTTGTATTGCTATCCGGAATTGGCAGTCGAGGTCCGGCGGGGAACACTACTATCCGGAGGTGGGATATATTACGATCCGGAATTGGTGATTAAAGTCCGACCGGCAACATTGTTATCTTGTAATTGAGATTTGAAGGAGGAGAAAAAGGACGGCAATTTGTTACGAGATATGTAATGAGATTAAAAATAACGATTGAACATATACCGGTTTTATAGATACATAAACCCGGCGGAATTATTACCGCCCCACGATTTTTGTATTTTTCTCTGTTTCGCTGCAGCGACAGCTGATTTTTGAGAAAGAAAAAAGGGTTCAAAAAAATGTCGTTTTTTTTTGCGTTGTGCAACCCTTACAGCATTTTCTTGGCAAAAAGGGGTCCCCATCGGCACGTTCGTTTTTTGAATTTTGACCACATTTTGGAAAAATTATGTTTTGTCACGTTTCCACAGATGAACCTATTTGAAAAAAGAGTCCTCCGGGCCATTCAGACCGTTGATGAAACATGATTCATGGACAGGATCAGTAAAATGAAGGTCTTTGATCTATAGGGAAATGATCATAATATATTAATATAATATATTGGTACTGTAATTCTATCGTGTGTATGAATAGGGATGGAAGAAATCGACCAGTCTACCGTCTAACCATTGGTTGGTGGTTTCCCTCTTCAATTACACCACGTAGAAGGGTTTCTTCTGTATGAATGTGTAATTTGAACCGAACGTTAACATCCCACCCCACCCCACCCTTCCCCACCCCAACCCCCACCCCACTCTCAGTCGCTCGCATTGTGTAGCAACGTAGAAGGGTTTCTTCTGTATGCATGTGTAATTTGAACCGAATGACATCTGAACCCTCGGAATCGAGGCACTGTGCTGAAGTCGTCCATCTCCAAAACATCCATGTTTTTCTGGATGTTTTTCTGGGCGGTAAAAATTCCGCTAGCATAAATGAGATAAATATAATACATAAATATTAAATATAGGTATATATGATAATAATTATTATAGATATTATTTGGAAAATGATTGCTCTATTTTTCATTTCGGAAATCGGAAATTACAGATATTAAAAATCTAATAGCTTTTGAGATAATAATATGCTATATATAATGATTTCTTGTTGAGATCATCGATGAAAATTGCTTTTGATATTTATCTATATTATAGAATTCTATATATTAAAAATGATCTATTTTGAATGAATCATATATATATATAATTATTAAATTTAAATATCTTATGATTTTCTCAATTCTTTTGAAGAATGATATTTAAACAATATCTATTCATATATTGCAAATTTTGGAAATCAAAATATAAAACAATCATATATTATTATCAACATATTTTAATTCTCAATGGTGTTGGGATTTGCATCCAATTGCACATATAGTAATATATATAAATCGATAAAATTGCAAAATCCATCGATATCATAATATCAATATCATTTTCTTCTTGCTTGGATATTTTTATATCCGTATTGGGCTATACAGTTTGTCCCTATGGATGCTTCTGGAGCGAGCAACAGCCGCGGCTATGGAACAAAAAACTTTGATCAAAAATCGAAATTTCTCTGGTGAATCATACCAACAAAAGCCGATCAGGTAAAGACCGTAGCCAGGAAAATCGAAAGGTCGGCCAAGAGCCCTATGGGGCGACACCAAAAGATTGCCATTTATATGTGCGAAACGAATCAGAACATGTATATGTTTCGATTCAACACTGGGACAATGGAACCATCATTCGATATCCATTCTAAATATGTTTTAAGAATAATCAATATACCAAAATAATACAATATCGAAATTGTTTGATTTCCTGCGGACAGAGGAATATAGATGCCAAAAATATCCAAATATTCAATTCTATATTTAAATCGGCTCTATCAATCATATCTATTATTCTATCAAAATATTTATAATCGTAATCAATCGATATATTCCACAATATCCTATTTCACACCCCATTCATACCATAGAATCCAATTACCAACAAAATTTAAACAAATCCATAACAAATTCCAATCGATTTATCCAAATGAAACATAATTAATGATTTTGGTAACAATATAATATATATTTACAAAAATTAATTAATAAAATTAAGATTATGTAATATTATATATTTCGTTCATTTACAAATTCCATATTATATGCTAATAAATAAAGGCTAAAATCGAATTCCAAATCCTTTCTTATTCATCCAATATTATAAATCGAATAAATCCATTATATTAATCCGAAATATCTTTAAAAAAATAATATAGAAAAAATTATTGATAAAAATATATTGTATTTCGCATAACCATATATTATAAATATATATATATACCTAATCAAATATCATATATATATATATCATATCCAAATATCCGTTATTCCATGAATTTTTACAATAAAATTGTTTAATAAATAGATGAACCACGGTCAAAATCAATTATTTATGATAAGGATATTGATTATCGTTATCGTTTTTGGGAGAGATCTTATCGGTTTTCAATTTTTTGTTCAACCAGATGCTTTTGGCAATCGCATTTACATTATGGATGAAACGGAATTACCTATTCATTGAAATTAGAAGCAATGGATGACAAATTTATTCACAGCTCGTTTGTCAGCAGCGGACAAAGGCATTGCATTCTCGAGTGATTTTGTGAAAATTGGAATATCTATTTCCATCTTAATCTTTATCGGCCTTCTATTTATTGGGATGTAAAATATTAATATATAAATTCTCAAAAAGAAATGCTAGACTAATGTCCTCGATAAATAATTTAGTTGTCTTGTCAGCAGGCTCTGGCAAAGTGTTTATGAAAGTTGAAAATATATCCAGACGGTTATCGGCGAATTATCGATTTCCTTATCGGCGTAGTGCCCACATAGAAGCCAGATGAAGCAAGAAATGGCTGCAGAGCAGAAACATTTAAAAAAAACAAAAATCTTCCAGATTATTTGGTTGAAGCCGCCCACTAGGGTATTGTCAATGGGGCTTTTATTTGACATGCAACAGGTATTGCAAGGATCTGTCAGGAATGATAATAAATATCATCATACATAGATTATCGATTTTGGGGGGAATTTTATCGATTTCCAATACATCCTCACCCTAAGCCATTCATATTGACCTCTCCTAACTAAGGTAGTCTACAATTATTTTAATCCCACCTCATATATAGGGAATCATGATGGCATTCGCAAAACACCTTTAATATACCATCAATTTATAATCTCTATTTCGGAAATGCCATCAATCACTTAAGACTACATCCCGGAAAAAAAAAAAAAATTGATGGCATCTAATCAGATTCTTTAGAAATATTACGTTCGTTAAAAGGTTTATCTAGGTTTAATTATTTACCCAAATCATTTTCTTTTATTATTATATATTATCAAATTATTTCAATATATTTATAAAATATATTTTTAAAAATAAACCAAAAAAATATAAATCAACCAAGGAATTAAATATGATTTTTCTCCCCCAATTTCTAAATTTATTCCCTTAATGAAGAAAATAAATTCATGGATAATTCCGGGAAATTTTAATTACCGATCCAAAACGCCCATCGAACACTAAATCAATTAACCTATTCAAATCATTTAATCAATTTCAAATAAATCGAAAAAACCGTATCTAATCAAATTCTATTTATATATAACCGACGAAATCATCAAATCGCAAAATATCAATATAATATATTTTAATAACATCCATATTCAAAACATAAATCTTCGATAATATTTTTTTTAATATCATTTACATTATTATATATCAAAAATAAAATATCATCACAATATATAATAAATTCGTTAAATAACAAATATATAATAAAAAAATTATTCGGAATACATATTATATATATCTATTCAAAATAATATCAAAAAAATCTTACAACAATAAATATTTCGTTCAATAATATAGTGGTTGTCCAATATTTGTGTTTATTAAAATGGTCATTTTTCATCATATTTTTCCCCATATTTATCCATAATACAATGCTATCATTCAAACCGAAGATATCTATACCTTCTTTATAAATTATTCTATTATTTAAAAAAAATGTTTTTCTTTAAATTTGTAAAAATAACATAAATTATAGAATTCCTTTAAAACCAATTCATCCACCGAAACCTTCGTTAAATTTTCGCGAAATAATCCCAATATTTTATAAATTACAATTTTTTTATCCAAACAAATATAATAAAATCCCCAACTACAAACATACAAAAAAAAACAAAATATTCACAAATCTTTTACGAAACAAAATTAACACGAAAAAAACATTCACGAAACCCACGATCATATCATCCAAGGCTCTCGACATTAAAACCTTCGCAAAATATTTTAAATAATATCTTCTATAAAAATATGTTATCATCCCATAAAAACATTCAATATAGATATATATATAATAAATTTATCCGAAATTATATTTCATAAAAATATTATATTAAATTATTCTATAAATACACAAATAAATATCCAATAAAAAATATCCTTCAAAAAAAACAATTATAAATATTATATTAAAAATAATTTCTAAAAATAAATTCAAAACAAATTAAATATAACATATCCCGTAGAACAATTTCTACGATAGCAAATTTTCTAAGAATTATGGCCTCAGAATTAATTACTTAATAATACAAATATAAATATGATAAATAGATTCTAAGAATTATAGAATTAATAGTTTTTATTATACATTTGTAGTACGAGACGTAGTTTCTGGGAGCTGTGGCCTCAGAAGTCTCCTACAAGAGTGGCAAATAGTTTGGGCGTTTGTTTCCGAGGACATGTTTGCATTCGGGTTCGTGGATCCCATCTTATTTTATATTCGTGTTTTAGCTTTTTTATATTTTTATTTTTTGATATCAATTTGCTATCAATTTATCTATGTACAGAATGGGTGTGGGCCCATTGTATTGGAACGATGGAATGACATCTGCATTCAATATCCTCAAGCAGTTCTATGCATCTTCGATGCTGGGGTGAAATCAAAAAACTGTGGCCAGCAATTAACATTCAAGGGTGGCATTCATTTGGACATGAACGGTCTCGTTCATAGTGGATTCAAGCCATCTATTGCCACATTGCTCCACCAAGACACAATGCATACAAACTATACAAATGACCCGTTCAGAAGTCACACATTCCAGCACTCATCCTTGGAAGGACAAGTCTAAAAAGCTTTATGCAAATACCCAGGGTTGGCAATCCAACAGCTGAATCAGTGCTACTTGCTGGCTTTCAACCAAGGAGGGCATGGCATAGTCTTCTCATTTGGGTACTAATTGCATAGTACTACCACTCTGTGAAGCTGATCCCCTCATGTGATCTCATGTCTGTACTGCATAAAAAATACATAGCCCCATGTAGAACACACACGCCTTTGGCACTCTGCCAGTAGTGTGTCCAACTCGCCCTGCGCTACTCGGCCGGTTTGCAAGCACAAGGGATCTTCCCAACGCGACTAGGTGTTAAACATCAAGGGTAGAAGAGTCTTTCCAACGCTCAGCAGCCTGCATCCAACAAATAGTTATTTGCTTTCCAATCCGCACTGAATCCTGCAACGCACTTGTTTCTGCTGTCCTGGGCATCCTCAACTTCTTCACCTTCCCAACACGCTTGCTTTTGTAGAGTTGAGACTGGTGCGAGGAAAGCCCTAAGTTGCTTCCTCAACTGTTTTTCAGAAGCCACATGAAGCCACAATCAAACCACTGTGTCGTGTCGTGTTCAAGTTTCATGACGTTTCCTCAAACAGTTTTTTTCTGTCAGCCAGATCGGACCTGCCGGATCGGAACCCTTCGGTGCCTGGCGTGTTGGCGAGCGCGGTCCGCATGGTTCGCACCAAACAAGCTCAGCTTTTGCAATTGGTGGGCGTTAGTAGTGGGACCAGTATGATACGGTATGCTATGCCTCCGCAGCATGTTACGACGCAGAAAAGAACCCACGCGCAGTTCCACAGCAAAATGCCCAAGAGAAACCCAATGCAATCTGAGGGCGCCACGGCTGCGTCCATCCCTTCACCTTGAGTTAAGGAAGCATGAGACCCACAAAAAAGCGAGGCAAAATCAGATGTTCGCCTCAAAGGACAGGGAAGATTGGAGAAGGCTTGACATGACTGCTCAGCCAACATCTTCAGAACTTGACTGTGAACATCTGCTGTTGGCATGTGATTTTCACTGAAGCATCAAAAAGCATTCAAATTGTGCTGAATGATCCCTTCAGCAGCGCACCTGCTTTGGTGATCTTGTCCAATCCCACCTGGGCACTGCATCTGAGCATCTCATCCCCAATATCAAATCTAGCCAATTGGAAACACTATTTGAGGCGAGGGGAAAACTCTGTCAACTTCCAGAGCAGCCTGGAGTACAGCTTGATCTGAATGCCAATTAAGGCACAATAAAGCAAACAGCAGTTGAGTCTTTCCTGTCCTTGCCCAATCAAGAGTCCAAACCGAACCCTTGAGACAGTGAAACTCCAGGAGTACTAGTATTCTCAGGGGCTATGGATGGTCATGACATCCACCTCACGACTTCTATGTCAGCCGCCTAGAGTGTAATTACATGAGTGTACTCCTAATAATTACATGAGTGTACTCTTAAATCATTTAATATCCTTTGTCTTCATATTCAATAAATTACAATAGCATACAATAGTTACTTGATTCTCGCTCGAATGGATTCTCTCCTTGCTTCGAGTGCTCGCTGCAGTCGAGCAGCTCTGGGCCGAGACTTCATGAGGTTGGGCAAGTCGGGCCTGGAAGATTCGCTACGACAGCGATGGTCCCGCGGCTGACATCAACGGAAGTGCTCTGCACGGCCCGCTGGGAAAAAGGAGTGATGTCAAAGGCCAGAAACTGTGTATTGTGTCAACCTGGGACCACAGCTTTCACTTTGAGCACCAATGGTTGAACATATGCCTTCATGCCCAGATGTTTTAACTGGTTTCGACAGCTGTGGTCGTCCCTCACTCGTTGCGAAGGCCTCTCAAATCCTCTTCAACTTTGAAACCAGATACAGGAATTGATCATTCAACTTGTGACGCCCACTATCTCAGAACCTCAAAAAAATAACCTGGTACAAAGTGTTCAAGTTGCCTATGTATTATAGTTATGTGCATAATTGTGGATATATAATATTTGTGCTTGTTGTTGAATCCAGCTTTTTAGTTGCCAGGCCAGGCCACGTGAACCATGTATGAAGAATTCGCTACACGTGTCCAGATTGTCCCTGACAACTGAGGCTGTCGCATAGATGAAGGCCTTTGCCTGTGAAGATCTCCTTTTCCACAAGCTGAGATGTGCGTTGCTGCCACAAAATTAACCAGAAACAAAAATAAGCAAAACTTTTCGCTTATAGCATTATGGCATATCAATAGTTTAATCTCATTGTTCTCCCTAACTGGGCCTTAAACAAATCAGGAACATGTGACTGAGCCATGTTGTTATGCAAGGCCTCATAGTTGAATAAGGGCAAATGAGGTATCCTTTGGCACATACAATCATTGGCAAAAAAAAAAACGGGCTTCTATCAACACCAACCATCCAAAGCCAATCTTTGGCCGTGCCACCCAAGAAGCATTCCAAGCTGCTTTTCAGGACATCTTTAGAGCAATGACAGTGAACTACCATCAACTCTTTGAATGTGAAATGCTTTTAGACTCTAAACAAGAATCCTCGCAAGTAAACGCCAAAGGCTTTATTATTACAAGCAGAACAAAGGCCCCCTCTCAGAACTGGTGCCTGCGCTGCTCGCCCTTGCAGCCAAGTTGACATCATCCTGGATGGAATAACGATGAACACCGCATCCACCCCATGTGTTTTTAAATATCATAATATAATTCTATGTAGTTAACTGATTATAAATCCATGATGCACATAGTAAATTGCAATTGAGCTGTACAGTTTCTTATAGTTTCTTCATGACTTTTCCCTTGTCATACAATGTCATACATGACAAGCCAACTGGCCAAGCTCAAAAGCTTTGTCAAGCCTGGTGCTGCAAAAATGGGCTCAACAGGATTGGCCATGAACCGGCCCGGCCTCGTCTGCATCTTGGAGGATCCAACAGGTTGTTTGCTCCTCCACATCCTCCTCGACATTCAGTTCCTGAAACATTCAGCCACCGATGATGGATCCTGGAGTTTATGGGGCCCATGCCCGTAGAGGACTGTTGCAAGAGCGTCAAGAGCTAGAAATAGCTAGTCTTCCTTCGGCTTGGCTATCTATTAGAAAACAATCCCTGGCCCGCTGGCCCTAGCAGACTTGAAACATTGGCACCCTCTTCAATTTTCACAGTCGATCTCTGGGCCTGGTAGATGGCAAAGTCATCCTCCAAACGTTTGTGTCTACAACAACTCTTGCTGTCCAATCGGTTCCTTGACCGCGTTTCAAAAATCGGTTCTTTAACAAACGCCTGGATCAAACACCTCTTCAAGCTTCCAGCATTTTGAGAAAACCCTCCCAGTTGCCTCGAAGCGCCGAAGGCCTTCGAGGCCAAGGGCATGATCAGGCCAATGGCTCAAGTTCCCGAGACCTCAAGTAGCAAGGACGCTACTAGTAACAAAGGGCATCGCTACTAGCAGCAAGGACGCTACTAGTAGCTCTTGGCCTTACTACTAGGAACAAGAAGCTACTAGTATCTACTAGTAACAAAGGGCATAGCCAGTGTTCTGTCCTGCTGGGCGCTCCGGTGTTTTTTCTCACTGACTCAGAACATACGCGAGGGTCGGGCCGCAGGGGCAGGTCATGTTTGAGGTCCCGGCTTGAAAAAGAACCCTTCTAACACAGTGTCAAAGGTAAGTGTTAACGAGAACCTAGACCTATACCTATTCAATTCTGAATCCAGAGTTGGCACACAAAGCCTCCCCGTCATAAAGAGGCAGTTTCCCATCCATCATTCTGCTGGTGCCCAGTACTGCTTTTTTTTTTGCAAATGCGCACATCGCCACTGTGCCGTGAAATTAAACAACACTGGGCAGTGATTGGCGACCACTTGCTAGTCAGTCACTTGCCAATTCGGATTGCCAACTGCGAAGATTCAGGGATGAAAGCGTCAAACTACAGGCAACTTACCACTCTAAAGAGACCGACCTGTCCATGAAACACCCGCTCATTTCATGAGGTAGCCAAGCCTCGTTCTACCTCCATCCCACAGATCTTTGTTAGCTGAACAAAGGAACAAACAATCAGGACTTCGTGCACGTCAATTATGCGGTCAGACATTGACATCGTCCAGTCCGTTCAATTACTTTGCAAAGCAATCTCGACCACCTCAAGATTCCAAGTTGCCCCATGTTCTTCCAACTTTCCAGCGTACCTGAAGCGGCACTTTCAGATCACCTGCCCGAATCATCTCAGACACCACGACTTCTCGCACTTCCCTGAGCTGTGACTCTTCCACTTCGATCATCAACTCATCGTGGATTTGCAGGAGAATCCGCCCGACCAAACGACATCGTCCATCTGACGCATGGCTACGCATTTGCTTCAGGCGATTGTGAATGCCGATCATGGCAGCCTAGGCACAATGTGACCTCCCAACATGTCCCAACTCGAACACTGCTATGGGCCATGGGCAATTTTGTTCCATGGTTTCCTGTATTTACCATTTGCATCAATTCATAATTCAAAATACGACATATTCAGTCACGTGCTTCAAGTGCTGAACAAAACCTAAACAAATGGATCGTTTCACCTATCGTTTCACCTGTTCTAGTGGCCCCCAAATAGATCGGCACTGTGTCCAATACATCTTCTGATGGGGAATGATGGGGGACATCAATGGTGATCCAAACCTCATGAAATCCATTGACATCAATCCAAACCTCAATCCACTTGATAACAATCTGATTTCGAGCTCAGCAGCTTTCATCAGATCAGCTGCTGAAGCCTGACAGGCGGTGTTCACTGCCTGGCGCTCCGCATGCGCTCGCTCAGCGGCCGAGGCGGCCGCGAGGCCTGGCAGGAAGCGCCGGCGACCGTGCACGGTCTCCACGAAGCCCTGCTGGCGAGCTTGTTCCGTACAAGTGGTGATCCAGGAGGCAACACCTGCAGCAAGACCATTTCCCAGTCGTTCGTTTTAAGGCAATGGTTCGAATCAAGTTGGAATGTGAGTTGAATTGATTTCGATGGAGCAAGAAACATCAGCAAACTGTCAAACAACTGAAACAAGTTGATGGGATGTGTTGACCTCAAGTCTTCAGGTGCGGCCTGCATATTCCTTCATGAAGGAGGCCTTCAGCTCTCTTGCCTGAGGTGTGGAGATGCCAAGATCTGCTGCCAACTTGCTAATGCCCACGCCATATATGAGGCTGTAGCAAATGCGCTTTGCACCGCTGCGCTCCTCTGGAGAGATGTCAGAACAGGACTTGGAAAGCCAACCTGCTGCAACCTGCTTGAAAACGTCTCCGCCCTGGTGCAAGATGTTGAGTAGTCGTTGGTCACCAGAGAAGTGCGCCATTAGGCGGATTTCAATCTGCGAATAGTCCAGGCTTAAGAGAACATGCCCAGGCTCCGCGCACAAGAGCTGTCGTGGATTTACCTGGCCGCGGTGAAAACATTATATTCATCAATATTCCAACTACTGCATAAATAATTACAAGAGAAACACACTTTCGCCACTAGGGAGGTGATCTAAGATATCTACATAAGTAGACACAAATCCGTGCCTGAATTTTGGCGGACTCATCCCCAACGTCGACAGCTGCTGCTAAGCGCCATACCTGATCAGCAGGATATGATAGCACCGAGCTACCATGACGAATTAAGACCTGTCGCACAGCGGAGGCCCACGAAGGATCATTGTAGATGTGCCAACCGCGAGAGGCCCAGTATTGTGCTACAGATGTGTCGGTGTCAGGCAGCAACTGGTCGCAAAAGCTTGAAGACACGTCCTCGATGACCCCTTCTCTTAATAAGCGCTGCTTGGGAGGTGCTTCAGAGGCACAAGCAACAAAAACTCTAGCCCCTGCACATTGCAAGTCGGGCCTCAGCACTCGGAAGGCCAAGGTGTCCTCATACTACTTCATTCACCCTTTTTTCTCTAGAAAATTAGCTTCAACAAATGGAACGAAAATGAACGAAGTAGAGAAGAAACAGGTGCTTCAAGCAAGTCTTTGTCACCCATGTTGCATCAGCTCCTGATGCAGCGATGGTCGAACCACTTCATTGATTTGAAAGGCATTCTCCAAGCACATCAGTGGAACTGAACCGGCTGCAGTTGCCAAGCGCCCAGTCGCTGTGCCTGTCTGGACAAACTCTGTCCGTATACGTGGTCGAGTAAATACTGGACCAGTTGAGCCCTGTGCCCCGCTACACAGTGGGCAAAGAGGCTCCATACGTGGGGCTTCAGCCGACCGTAGAATGGACTCGATTCGCTTCACGGCGTGGACCAATTGCCTGTATTCCATGATCAAGCTGACAACAGGATTTGGAAGCAACCGCTTCAGCAGCTCTTGTGGAGATTTGTAACAGAGCCGCCCGCTAGCCTTCCGACGCATCTGTGCACCTTTGGGCAAGGGGAGGTGCAAATCTTCGAAGAGAGCTCGGCCAACATCTTCACTGGAGCTTAGCAACACCTGCCGTCCAACCACCCTTTTCACATGCTCCTGGATTGCTGCCATCTTGTACAATGCGTGGCTGCGTGTGTGGTTGGGGTCACTGGTTTCGCATCCAATGCCAAAGTGTTCCATCCACGCCAAAACCGTGGCAGTGGGCATTTCGATCCACCAAAAGCTTCCTAAAAGCTGTTGTCGACCCAGCCTCTAGGGTTGCTACTTCAGGCACCATTGTCTTTTCTGGGCCAAGGAAAACTCTATGGAAAAAAAAAGCAGTTCAAACATATCTGAACCAAACAGCCTCCAAGCAATCCCTGCGGCCCTGCACCTGCGCAAGAGCTCCGCCAACAAAGGCAAAGCCACAAAAGCCTCAGGCCAAGCTGTTGCCAGTCTGGCCCTTAAGACCGGACTCAAGCTTAGAGAGGAGACAGAGGAGTTCCCAGAACCTGCCAGGAGAGTGTTACCCTCCAAGGTAATCTGACAAAGTGATGCCAAATTTGCTATACTCATGTTCTCCTTGTCATCCGGATCCAGTAACCAGTGAGCTATCCGCGGCTCGGCGAGAGAGCACTGAACATCAATTCCTCGCTTTAGGAAGGCACCCACCAGGTCTTTGGCGTTGGTCGTGAGACACAGGTTTTGCTCATCCCGAAACCAGCTCCAAATCAATCCATCTACCGCCGGCTCAGCAGGAGCAGCACTTCGTTCAGAGCTGGGAGCAGGCAAAACAAAGCTGTATGCCTCGCAGGGGCCCAGCAACAAGCAAAGTGCCTCCTCGCCATTCTGACCAGGAACAATAGATGCTCCAATCCAGTCGACCTTGGAGGTGCTTCCCTTATCCAAGTACTTCAAGTATCCCAAGTGAACCAAACACTGCCTTTGCTTAAATCGATGATATGATATCTGACTTCCAAGGCACGTCTGTCAGACCTATTTCTACAAGTCTCTGATATGATAGAGCCATGCGAGCCAAGCTAAGCCTCTTGCAGTTGACAAGCGCATGCCCAAGGTTTGCAGTGGAGATTGATGCAATGAAAGAACTTGAAGCGGGGGAAGTCGGAACCGTGCACCTTGCAGCTCAGAAAGACTCAAACAGTTCTGTACAATTGAGTTCTGGGAGCGGTCATTAGGACAGGGCATCTCGGGCTTGGGTTTTCCTCATCGGTTTTCAATGTTTGATGAATATCACTAACCACTAACATACCTTATCGGTTTGATACAAAGGCATCGGGCTTGGGTTTTCCTCATCGGTTTTCAGTGTGTGCTCGACCTACCAACCTACCAACAAACAGCAATTTGGTTCCGACGTTTTTGGACAGATCTCAATTGTTGCAAGCATCTTCAAACTCAGAAAGTTGGACTAGTTGCAGGTCGCTGTAACCTAAAACCACTTACAGCCTACAAGGAGTTCAGCCTGCAATCAGAAACCATGCGTCATCCCAACAAACAGTCTAAACACTCTAACACGTTTAACACTCTATTCTGTTTCCCACCGACCTGGGGTTGCCAGCGCAGATGCCAGGAAGTTTGCCTCACTCTGTACACAAGGGTATGGTTCTCCACGGGCCAGCACCAAAGCAGACTGAGAGTCTGCAGAGGGACCAGGGGAGACTCCTGGACACCGAAGGAATCGAAGCGTTATCATCGCGCATTTGATTGAGTCATGTAACATGTAAGCACAATTATCTTCCACATCTCTTGAATTAGCTGAGTAGACAGTAACATCCACAACTCATCAACTGTGTCCTCCGGAAGCCACTCCTGAAGACCTGGCACCTGGAGATCCAACAGCTTCCTGAGCCAAAATTCCAACAGCAACAAGTTCGAGCATTGTCTTATGGCAAAAAGAGAAGTTGTCTATGACACAAAAATGTATTTGCACTTCATTGATATATAGTGATATTATTCTCCCGGACAAGTGGGATTGTTCCATGGTGCTCACAAGCTTCGGTGGGGTTCCTCGGCACAGCGAAGCGAA